AACATTAAAATATTGATATTTTTGCATGTACTACTACTTTTCTGAAAAAATATGTTCAAAATTCAGCTGAAGTCTTTGAAGTTGGTCTTCTGTAATTTTTTTTTTTTTTTTTGGAACAGAAAAGGTTATTGATCACAACTGACATTATCTTCATTTACAAATCATTTAGTATGTTCTGTCTTATAACTAAAGATTTAGCCTGTTAGAGGAGTTCTGTAACTTTGTATTTCCCTTCTACTTTTTAAATTCAGATGGGTATAAAGAATCTAAGTTAAGACAGTAAGACATACTTGCTCAGAGAAATGATCTTACCTTTCAGATTCAGTCAGAAAATGAGTTGAAGTAATTTCTGACTAATATCAATTTGATAGGCATAACCTGTCTGAAAATGTTCCTAAAATATGCCAACTGGTTTACTTGATAGGTACCTGAGCATATTAAAAAAAGTCAAAAGTAACTCTGATTGTTCACTTATAATTACATTTTGAAGATGATTATAGCCCAGAGGCTGACAAATCAAGATGAAGACAAGAAGAGTTTTCCAACCATTTGTTTTGCCTTGCTCTTTCCATACAAGGCAGGTATGACTGTCACCATCTAATCATGAAAGTCTCATTAAACTGTCTTTGATTATCTCCCACATGTGAGATTAATATATGATGGGCACACATTTTTTTCACCATGAACGATGCAATTATGAGATGATTTCGGGAAGAAAGCACCAAGCTCATAATTATTTTTAACAGAAACACAGTATTCTTGTCAGATACTAAAAAGAGCTGTCTTCCTCATCAGCTAACATCTAAGTAGGTTTCTGAATAAAAATTGATTTTAAAAATAATTATCTGAATTCAGGTTAAATTATGTTATGAAGCAAAACAGACAGGTACTAGATTAAAAAAAATAATAATTGTGCAAGGTCAATTTACACTTCTTTGTTATGAACAGTTGTGCACAGTACTGCACTGCTAGTAAATAAGGCATTTTCGCTGCCCCAAAGAGCCTGCAACTTTAATATAGCGTACCAAAACAAAGGATTAAGGTTCAAAATAAGTTAGAGTTTAGAATTATTAATGTGTATTATAAACAAAAGAGCTAAGAGATGCATGTCTGGGGAAGAGTGTAGAGAGACTGAGAAGGTCTGACAGAAAAATGTATTCAAGCAGGATAGAAGGAAGGAAGTAAAGCAGATAAAAGGAGCAGGAAAATGAAAGGATTGGGAAGAACCAAAAGAACAAGAGAAAGAAGATAAAAGCAGGGGTGAGGTGATGAGATATGCAAAAATCTATAAACACAAAATTAAAAACACACCCTAGTGTGTACAAAACTCACCCACACCTTCTTTTCACACACAGGTCACTCTTATGATACTTGATAGTCCCACAGATATGAACTTCATTTCACAAATATAAAAGCAAATAAAATCCACAGCCAATTAACTTCCAGCCTAGATCAGATATAACCCTATGTCGAGCAGTAATTTATATACCATGATCCATCTCATTGATTACTAGTAGAGCTGGACACAATCCTGAAGTTTGGTATGTAAATAGCTACACACTGAGACCTCTATGCATATGTTTCCCACTGTAATTCCAGTTTACTGTTATGCTTATTACTTATAACCTAGTTTCCTTTAGAGGGAATAAAAGTGCACTGATGGTACATACTGTGATGCAGCACATGGAGGTACCATCACGTGAGATCTTTGGGTGGTCAAAGAAGTGAGGTAAGAAAGTTGAGGAGCAGTGATTGGGAGACATTGCTTTTGTGTATATTCAAGATTGCAAATCTTAATGTTTGGGTGAGGGTTTTTCTTCTTGTTTCATTTGGTTTGGTGGTCAAATCCATTTTTCTTTCAGGGCTCACTGATGGCTGGATGCCAGTGGGTAAGAAATGACAGCACTGGGCTGTATTGACATGATCTGATATTGATATGGTTGCATTGACAAACAGTTTCTGAGTTTGTGTGGGGAAAATTCATTACTGATAGAATATACCTTGAGCAAGAACCCATCATTCTGGCGGTGTGGATGAGCAGTAAAATTTGAGAAGACACTTCGAAAGCTTATATAAATGATGATAAGTTGTGAATGCTAACATGCTAGATACAAGTTTATTAGGATGTTACACAGACTTCTAAGCAGAAAGACAAACATATATGTAGATTTAATAGTTACAAGAGGGAGTGACAGCCATAACCAAATGCCCACACATTTTAATCCTAGGAATGTTTCATCAGATGCTTATAGCTCTGAGAATTCAATTTTTACAGACAGTGTGTGTGTTACTTGCAGCAGGGTGATCTTGCTCTCAAAAATACCTATTATGTACATGCAGCCTATCACAGGTTGTGATTGTATGAAGAGGTGATATCACTTTTAAAAAATTCCTGCCTCATTTGAATATCTATGTTCTGAGGAAAATAAAAGGTAAATAGAGAACATGGTTCAAAAATATATATACGTATATATATATATTATTTTGTTACAAAAACCACAACACTGTATTTGCAACAGAGTAAATCCGGAATACATTTAGACTGCTGTCTCCAGTTGTGGCCTCCTCAGTTCAAAAAATATGGGGAACTCATATAAGGAGTTAAGCAGAGGGTCACAAAGATGATAAAGGGCCTGGAACATTTCCCATAGGAGGAAAGGCTGAGAGACCTGTATCTTTTTAACCTGGGAGTTCACTGAGAGGGGATCTGATTAATGTTTATAAACATCTAAGGGGAGATGGGAGGCAAATGGATGAGGCCAGGATCTTCTCAGTGTTGTGTAGCAATACGGCAAGGAGCAATGGCCTAAAACTTGAACATAGAAAGTTCTGTACTAACATGTGGAAGAACTTCTTTATAGTAAGGGTGATGGAGCACTGGAACAGGTTGCCCAGAGAGGTGGTAGAGTCTCTTTCTATGGAGATATTCAAGACCCATCTGGATGCTTGCTTGCCTGTGTGACCTATTGTAGGGATCCTGCTTTAGCAGGAGAGATGGACTCGATCTCCTGAGGTCCCTTCCAACTTCTGCAATTCTGTGATTCTGGGATAAACCCAGTGAAGTCAAAGCAGAGTTTTTTAGTTTTCAAAGGTGAATTTCAGAAGTATTGTTCCTGCATTACACAGACACGTATCCTTTATTGTCAGGATGATCAACTTGTCTACGCTCAGGGCCACTCATTTTTAATGGATCTGATCAATATATACAGCATCTAATTAATTTAATAAGCACTGTCATGCTTGTCCTGCCTTTAAACATCTCTCCAAGCAATGCAAACATAGTGCTATCCTCAATGTTATTGTTGTGCTGACTCACAACCAAATAAAATTGCCATGCTAGGTGAACCTGACCAATGGACCTCCATTTGGCCATTAACTACAGAAGTAATGAGAAAGAGGAGAATGCTCACTGCAAAGAGCAGAACATAGAGGCAATCTCTCCTGCTTTCAGTGTGACAGCTCTTCCCTGTTTGTTAAAGACCTGAAGGTTTGCTGAACATCTGCTGAAGCCTTTGCCATGTTTTGGTGAGGATGGGTGGCTGCGCTGATTGACTGTCCATTGAGATAATCTGTCCTGGGAAGAAGGGTTGCATAAGGAAACCCTTAGAACCAAGTGCTTGAGAGGGCTACAATCCTTTCCTGCACAGTGCAGATGAGGTTCAATGGTTAGTTCTTTCCACACTTGTTGACTCAGTTCTCTGGATTTTTTTCTGCAGAGAGAACTCAAAATGTAGTCAGTCTGGTGTATGTCTTTCCCATGCTGAAAACAAGCACATTAAAGGTGCCGCTGTTATGTACTATTGCTATGTCTTCCCCAGCTTTAGGGCTTTTCTAGCAATTATGGGGAGGTGCCTATCACTTTGATTACAGGTGCTGGCAAGTTTGCCACTTCTCTTTACAAGCTTCAGCTCTGTTACCCCAACACCAGTGGAGGAGATAGAAGCAAAGAAGATAACATCACACACTTGTTCTGTCTCCCGTCACCACATACCAGATTTTCACAAGCAGTTTGTGAAAGTGCTTGTGATGGTGATAAATTCTGTTTAGCAGACTAGGGAAACAACTGCCTTGGCAGTATACATTAAGAGGGATGACAGCAGGAGTAGGAGGGCACTTGTTCAAATCTGTGTCAGATATGGGTTGCCATGGACAGCCTCTCTGTTTGTTAGGAAGTTTTAAATATGTCCAGAATACCTCTTTGGAGATCAAGAAGAAATATGTGTCAGATAACCTTATCTACAAGCAAATAAGAGATGCAAGGTCATGAGACATATTCCAGAAATAGCAGAATTGGACTAGTGACTGGCCACAGAGAAGAGCTTGACACTAAAAGGCTCCTATCAAAACATTCATAAAAATGTTATTATTAAAACTTCAAAAGTGAGTCTGGATGATTTAAGATTCAGGCAGCTGCTCCTCTTTGATGAAATAATTTTTTTGAGGCTTTGTGTTTTTGTTTTTTTTTTTTTTTTTTGAGGTAGTGGTTACACCACTTAAAAAATGACAAATACATCTGAAAACCATTGGTACTGCAACCTGTACTGCCATCCTTCATGTCCAACAGGTTTTATGTAAATGCTCACAGAGGGAAGTTTGTAGGTTTCTTTAAGTACTGTTTTGTCTGCCTATAACCCATCGCTTCTCTGTGCTCTGTCAGAACGTTTAGTAATATTGCATCATCTCACTCAAGTAGTATCATGTTGCTGGCTTAGTATCTAAAAGCATGTGGATTAAAAGCTGAAGCAAAGTCTAATAAAAAAGGAATTCTATTGTTAATAGCTAAACAATGTTCAGTCTTACATGCTAATAAAATTTCCTTGCTTATGTGCCAACATCATGAAATGTGTGGTTTTGGTGGAGGTCGTCTACTGTTGGAATTCAGTCATTGATACTTTTTGTGTACCTTTGTTTATGAATGTAAAGTCCAATGACACTTTTTGATATGATGGAGTCTAGTTCTATGGTGTTGGTTGGTTTTTTTTGAAGTAATACAGTTCTGCACATCTCAAGTTTATTGCCAGTTGAACTTTGCTGAACAAAGCATCTTTTAATGGCTTTTACTTTTTAATGACAGTTATAGACATATTGAGCAAAACTGTATAATACCATTGACGGGAGAGAAACTGTACATCCAGAGGATTTGAAACAAAAGAGAACTTGTCAGTATATGCAACTCCATTTAACAGGGCTTCAATTTTAACAGCACACAAGCATCTCGTCTCCTTCTCTTTCAGGCCCAGAACCACTGTTATCAATGTAGGCATTTGACGATTTACTGTTGGAAAAAATATTAAAATAGATAACATTATACGTAAGTCTATATTTGGTAACTTCAACTTAATAATTTCCAGTTTAAATTCATTATCGATATATTTAACTTTTTCTCCAAATCTTCTGTACACTTTAAGACAAAATAGAATTCCCAGCTTCTGTGAGACAGTGAGGTCTTCAAAGCATCAATAAAGGCATCTTAATGCTTTATGACTGCCCATATTTGAGTCTATAGCTACCCTAAAGCACTCTTATGTGTCTATTTGTTTTAGGCTGCAATTCTTTTCCTGAGAATAAAAAGTTATACAATGTATCTCTATATAAAAAAAGTAATATATCCTGGATGGCCTTTCTAATAACTACGAAATTGTTAGCATTTAAACTGGTGATGGAGTATTTAAACCGAAATGATCAGCTTACCTAAAAGTAATGTGTGAATTTGTTCGCTTTTCAGCCCACAACCCACAATATTCCCTCTCTTTCTCTTAATTTTTTAGATTGCATTTAGTGACTCTGACTCCACTCTCCACCAAAAACAATCTCCATTTTGTAACAACTACCAAGCAATATTATCCACACTTAATGGATGAAAAATCAACTTTTCTCTCTAGGAATATTTCTTTAATTTTTGCAGTGGTACATGAAGGTACAGCTCCTGTTGTTTGTATTTGAAATGTTAGCCACTGTCTCCCTGGCATTAGTGATGGTGGGAAGGAAATTCAAGTGAGGGATACATTTACACTGCTGTTTTGTTACTCAAATGAGGCTACGAAATCCCCCAGGAAAGCTGAGTAGATAGTTTAGAACTCAAGAAATATACCCAGCTTCATGCTGCTGTACAACACTGCTACCAGCTGATTGCCCATACCAATCTAGTTTGTTTAAAACTACCTTAGATATGTTTTTCAAGCCTTCAGTGAGCCTTTCAGAGCGAGTGCAGGTCTATCCTTATAGGAAATAAAAATAATTCAGGAAGTAACAGGCTTATGAAGTTGGTAAAGTAACCAGGGATGTTCTGAGTGCAACCATGACAAGTGCTGAGGCTGAAACCTCACAGCTGCAGAAGCTAAGCCTGACAGAAAAATAAGCAGAGAAGGCATTAGGCCATTTCACAGGCACTGAACTGCAATTGCTAATACTTTTGGGGAAATGGATCATTTATATTCTGTGATTCCCTAACTGCTATTGGATTGATCTGCCATTGCTGCCCAGATTAGTAGTTCTCAAGAGGACTCAGCTAATCCAAATCAGTTACTACCCTGCTTTGATAGGTGAATCAAATTACACAATCCTGTACAATCATAGTCCATTTACACAGTTAGGTTTTTGCTGTCATGGTTTATAGGAGCCTTACTATGTGCAGTTATGTATCTCAGCGCCTTTGATAATCCTCCTCTCTGACCACTAACAATAAAAATTATGGGTGTATGCTGGAATAAACCCCTTGTTTAAAAAGCATCAACTAGAATTTTTCCATCTAGTTTATTTCACATTATTGAAATCATAAAACTTATAGGAGCCCAAGGAAAAATATAGCTTTTTTTTTCTGATTTCAGAAAAAAACCTATGCCAACATTTATATGTGCCAGTTTAACATAATTCTACTAAATTGCAGAGTCAACTGCAGGGTGGGAAGCACTGTGTCTGCCACAAGTACTCTTTCTCCTCTCTTTATTTCATACAAATTTCACTTGCAGAAAAAAAGTATTCCTTAATGGATTAGCAATACCCAAACACAATTTCAGCCTAATACCAGCCATAAAAGCCATGTAAATTACTGTCAATTTATAAATGAAACACAGTAAGATTGTAACTGGATAGGTCATGCCTTTGTAGATATAAGAAATCTCAGGCATTGGTTATATCTACAAACAGTATGGCATCTCAGATTGTATCAAACTATCAGCAAACTGCACTTTTCTTCACTTAAAAAATGGTTCTAACATCAAACAGTCTTTATACAATTTGACCTCCGAGCATTCTATGTTTTGATTAAAATCTTTGAGTTTTGACATGATGCTATTTTAGATGCTTCCTTTAGTTTAAATTAAGCTTGTTTCTTATTTTCTAAAGCTGTGCTAAGAGAATTTAAGCATACTCAGTACATACAAAAGAGAGCACAGCCTGGGGAAGAAGCAAGGCTGTGATTTCATCAGTCTTAATACCAGACATGTGCGTTACCACACTGCAAAACAAGCCAGACTTGTCATGGGTCGCACGGGGGTACACAATCACATTGCAGGCAGCCACAGGACATGATGCATTGATTCATAAGTTTAAATACTAAATTCCACACAATATTTAATCTGTTTATCAGATATTAGTATTTATTCATTACTATGAAATCACGGTCAAACAAAACAAAGTTTCATAAATCTCTACTCATCAGAATGGCCTCTGAAGTTAATAAGAGCATTCATCTTTCTTGGGCAGGTAATACAGTCTTTATTTCTTCATAGTAAGAACCGAGCAAGCAAAAAGGTCACAGCAATCAACTGACCTCAAAATTTCACATTTTCAAAATAACAACAAATCAGTACCTTAACGCTGCAAAAATATACTTAATATAAACCATTTTTGAATAAATGACACATAATATACCTACTATATGTGAAGTTCTTTTAATAGAAGCCCTACTTTATCTTTTACCAGTTCTGGTGCAAATCAAAATATCTACCTTAAATGGGATAAAATGTGCGCTGAGAATTGAAACCATTTTCCAAAGCTCCAAAAATTCATTTGGCAATAGAAAAAAAGCTTCACAAATCATGGGCAAATTCTCAGAGATTGAAAGCAGCACCACCCGTTATTTGCTGACATGTCCATATAGGCTCAGAGTTGTTTACCCCCTGCTATTGACTGAGCTCATCAGTTGTTACTAATGAATTGTGTTATTTGAAGCACCCAGGCAAGAAAAGTGGAATGCCAGTGCTGAAGGACACAAGCCATCAGCACTCGTACAAGCCTACACAATGTTCCCCAAGTAAAAACAAAAATGTTCAGCCAAAGTATTCTGAACACAATGGAACTGTAGATGTATAGATCTGTAATGGCCTGTTTTTATTATATAAACCTGTAACTTTTAGAGACCAGACTCACATACAGGAACTTAAAGAAGCTGACCCTAGGAAAGAATTATTCCTACGGGAATTGCATTCTAACCATTTTACTAAACCCCTGTCAAAAGGCTTGGACTGCCATAATCAGTGCCAATCTCCAGGGCTGAGAATACTGGACAGCACAGAAAAAGGTGGCTTTAGTGACTCCAAATATTTTTCCAAGATCTGTTTTGTCTACAACTTATCATTCTTGGGCAAAGTGGTAAAGAACAGAAAAATGCTTAATTCCACCAAGCTTTATTCCAGAAATATGCTTCAAGTCCCAGCATGTCACATCTGACAATATGCAGGATGCAATTTGTTTTTGTGACAGTAGCAAATCATCAAGGCAGCTCTAATAGCCATAAAAGATTCTAGGATAATAAGCAAGATCTCTATGCTTGCATTTATAAGAGAAAAGAATCAAAACAGAGAGAAAGCATTTTCATGCTACCTACATACATGATAAATTTCTGTAAGACTGGTGGTTTAACACTGATGGACAGCTCAGCACCACATCACCCTCATTCCCTCCCCTGAGAAGAACAGAGGAAGAAAATGCATCACTCAGCAATTACTACCACTGGCAAAACAGTCAGCGTAGACAGATGAATGTAATTTACTGCCTATTGACAGCACACTACTACAGTGAGAACTAAAAGCAAACTAAAAACACCTTACCCTATCCACCCTCTTCTACCTCTTGAGCATGCAGCATAAAGGGGAATAGAGGCTGTGGTCAGTCATTAATGCTTTGTCTCCGCCGCTCCTCCATGGTCACTCTCTGCCCCTGCTTCTCATGGGGTCTCTCCTGGTTGCTGCTGTACAGCAGCTTTTCCCTTTCTGCAGTCTGCTCCCCTAGAGCACACCAGTGTCACTCATGGCTCAGCTCTGGCAGCACTGGGTCTGTTTTGGAGAAGCTGGGGCTGGCTCTGCTCTGACATTGAGCAGTGCTGGGCTCTGCACTCAGAGACCAAGCCTGCACCCCTCTGCTATCTAAACACTGCCAAGTAAGCCCAGTAATACTGTTCACTAACAGCACTCACTAAAGATATAAAATTCTTCAGGCATTTTCAACAAGATCCCAGAAATAGCTCTGCAATATGTACTATGGAGTTTCTTTTTATTGATCCTGTCCACATTGAACAAGAAACTGAACCAGATCTGGGATCACACATGATAAAATCCTTAGCAGTTGCAGAGAAAGAAAAAAACTTCTCTTGTACAAAGCATAGATACGGGCATTAGCATGCTAACAATATCAGTTGTTTTTTTTTTTAATTGGTTCTAAGAGTGCATTTATCCTCAAATAATAGCATTGATAAAAGTGATCCCACAGGACTCTTCAAAGTAGTACATTAAAGCCTGCTTGGATATCACCACACAGGCCTAGTGACTCAACATTTGGAAATGTGTAAAAGGAAGGATAGCACAGGATATTTGTGCATAAAGTAGCACTCATGGCTTACTTGTGCATCTCCCCCCCTTTCCTCCTGAAAATCTATACAGAGAAGCACAGGGAGCTGGGGATGGCAACCAGTCCTGCATGGCCTGCATTACGACAAAGAAACACAGAAGTTAACTTTGGGGCACATTGGAGCTACACTATTATTAATGCAATTTAGGAGCATGGATATTAAATGGAGATGTGGAAAGAAGTAAAGAAGAGTTTGTTTTCATCTTTCCCAAACATTACACAATAGTAGCAGATTTCCACATAAGGCAAATCATAATGTACTCCCCAAAAGGGAAGTGGTAATAGGTTCAGAGAACCAGAGTTCTTGAAAGCAGGTGACCAAGTTCTTCCTAAGGTGGTATGCTTCAGTACAGCCTCTCCCTCTGGAAGCTGCCAACAGCATGTAGTCAGTGGTATTTAGGGGAATGAAAAAAAGGAGTATGGTTTTATATATTTTACACTGTTAATTTTTTTTAACAGAAACTTTATCCTGAAGAAGCTTGTAACTCAGTGAAAATGCTGTAGCTCCAGTCTGTATCCATTCATTCATTCAAGGGAGAAAAAGAAGGAAGATTTTTCTTTCAGGGAGTTTTTAGCTAAATGAAGATGTTTCTATCACTTTTCTTTGTAGTAACAGATTTTCTGTGAATAAATCCTCCAATCCATACTTCCAGCAATCCATAAAAGCTGCAAAGGTGTGAATATCTGTCATATCTTCACATTTCAAATTAATTGAGACTGTTCAAGTGCCAGCATAATTAAGGATGTCTGTCTCAATTACGTTTAGACTGGATGCAAGTTGGGACAGCAATGATCAACAGATCATATCCTTTCAAATCAGTTACTTTGGTTTTCATTAAGGGCTGCAAAAGCATTAGAACATAGGTATTGTTATTAAACTCCTTCATAGTTTATTCAGAAAGGATTCTCCCTTTACACACTTATTTCCTTAGCAGGAATTTCCTGATACACTGCTTGAAGTTAACAAAAAAGATTGAGACATCTTCTCAGCTTTTGTTCCCCTCTCACTAGCAAATTTCCTATTCCTTATTGTGACTACACTTGTACACACAGGTGTCAGCATATATCTTTCACAAATCTGAGACTTTGGGCACCTTAAGATTAGTGACTTAGTCAATAATAACTAAAAATGCTTTCATGAAAAGCTCTTAATTATTTCCTTCAGTGCTCTAGTTTTGATTCCAAGTGTCTCTTGAGCTTATTTTACTTCAGAACCAATCTGTCTGTGATTACTCAAACTATCAGCCCATCTGGTGTCCTCTCCATTCCTTCAGTACTTTTAATACATTGGCCAACTGCATACAAGTCTGCTGGTAATATCTTCTTAAACTGTCATGAATTTTACAAAAGCTGGCATCTAGGGAGGGAAAATGAATACACATCAATGTTGTTTCTGAGCAAAAGCCCCACATGTCCTCAGTTTCTGCCTGAGTGGACTGGCTAGTCAGTCAGAAGGAGCATGTGTTGATCTTTCTCTGATTGTACACATTATGGTGGAAAATCTTGAAGTGTGAGGCCTTGAGAAAGGAGCTGAGATTACTGGATAAGATAAAGCCATATGTGAGACACATACACTCTAAAAAATAATAGTTTATTCACTGAAAAATAAGAGTTGTGAGAAAACACTTCTGGCATTAAGTACATGGCTTAGTGACGGGATTTGGTAGGTTGGGCTGATGGTTAGACTTGATGATCTTGAAGATCTTTGCCAGCCTAAAAGATTCTATGATTTTATGAAGAAGACTCTAAAGAGTTATTCTTAAAAAAATAAGAGCAGCTGGTTTTGATTCATGAAAAGAATTTTCAAACAACATCTCAAGGTACGTTTTCAGACTGCCTGGGGAATTCTGTTGTCTAATTTATCCACAGGTTCTGTTTTCGCTGCTGATCTTTTCAACACCAACAATAGAAGACGTATATATGGGACATGTTAAATATTTGTCGGATGTCCAAACAACTGTGACATTCTGAAGTCTTTCTCACTTTGGGTACAGACATAGTCAACCTGCATACCCCCTTAAAAGACACTGATTTCGGTTTCTTCTTATTTTGTCAAATATTAACTGCTTGGCTGGAGTTTCTTATTTTAGGTATCTTGTTGATCATTTTTTACTCCCCCATCTCTGTTCTTGCATTGCCCAGTAGAGAAAGATGCCTCTTTGTGCTTCAACATCAAGTAGTAGCTTTGAAGAGGCCTGCTTTTCTTCAGTTCATGTGCCAGGTGGCCAGCTGGCAAATCAAACAGAAAGAGATTGACTGGAAGCACACAAACTCTTTCAGAAATTGAATAGAAAAGAATTGGTGTTGGAGACTGAAGGAATGGGTAAGGAGGAGAAGGTGCAGAAGAAGGCAGGACTTGGCTGCTCCACATGAGATTCCCTGGAGCAAGAAGCCAGAGAACATTATGGAAAAATGAGACAAGAAACAGAACAAGGCAACTGAGAGAAGGTAAGCTTTACAGGACACTGATCACCTGTAATGGCAGAGATGAGCAGGAATTCTGGGATGGATAAAACCCAGGAGGCAGGACTACAGACAGCTGTGACACAACAAAAGCAATGCTTAGGAGACGTGGCAATGATATTTCTACAGGCAGGCTTACCCTGTTAATGGAGTGAGACGAGTGAGCTGCTTCCAAAACAGGGGAGCTGTTGTCACTAGTTACTGTGCATGAGCTAATCAGTCCATCCAAATACTGAGGCTTGTTACTAGAGGTGTCACCATGCTGATATAAAGTTACCACTTATCTGATAGCACAGGACCTCCGCTTGTATTTCCTAATGTGTATAACATCATATAGATATGTCAGCTCAAGTGGCACTACCTTGGGATCTCTATAATCCACTCCATACTAACAAAGACATGGCCCAAACTATTAGAGCATACTCACTTCCAAAGCACCATTTTACTCTTCTATCAATTAGTATTTATGACACTCAGTGTCCCTCTTCTCTCTGACATACATGTGAATCCATTTGCTATAGATCCAGGTCTCTCCCCAGACCGAGACGCAGCCATAATACTGCTCTTGAAGTTGGGGCACTTGAATATGATTAAAGATGTGATCTGAAGATAAAAAATGTGATAAAAGAATTAATTACTTCAAAAATGAACTGTAAGATATCTAAAACTGGGTAGCAAAAATTAGGGAATCTTTTGACAATTCTGACCTTAATTTTTGCATTTCTCAGTTTCTCAATTATAAAATGAGGACAATAATGGCACTTAATAATTTTGTAAGGAAGCATAGACTAGCTCATTTTATGAAGTACTTACATACTATGGAGAGAGCAGAACACAACCCGCCATTAAGATATTAGCTAATTTTACATCCTTTCCAAGATTTGCCTGTTAGATGCTGAGTAAGATCTGATATCAAATATTGAAAGAAAAAGATAATAAGAGATAATATGGAGTGTAGTATCATAGAGTCATAGAATCATAAGAATCACTCAGGTTGGAAAAGACCTTAAAGATCATCGAGTCCAACCACGGTGAGGGTGACGGAGCACTGGAACAGGCTGCCCAGGGAGGTTGTGGAGTCTCCTTCTCTGGAGATATTCAAGACCTGCCTCAACACCTACTTGTGTGACCTAGTGAGGGAACCTGCTTTGGCAGGGAGGTTGGACTCGGTGATCTCTGGAGGTCCCTTCCAACCCCTACAATTCTGTGATTGTGTGATTCTGTAATAAGAGACCTGAAAAGAATCATAGAATCACAGAATCACTCCGGTTGGAAAAGACCTTAAAGATCATCGAGTCCAACCACAACCTAATTATACTACCCTAACTCTAACAACCCTCTGCTAAATCATGTCCCTGAGCACCACATCCACACGGTTTTTAAACACAGCCAGAGATGGTGACTCAACCACCTCCCTGGGGAGCCTATTCCAGTGCTTCATG